ACACAGCATGTTTTGTGATCGTAGGATGTAGGATTCAAACTGCCAATATTTTGTGTATTATTTTCTATACTGTCGCATTCACTGGTTTTTCGTGGCAAGGGAAACAGAAGATGCGTGTCAATGACAAACAAGTGTCGTTGATTTCTTGCTCCCAACGAGATCGCTGCGTTCATTTTCGAATAATGTCTATTTCAAACCTCGCTTACTGTTGAACAAATATAACTCTGTGTATATCACTACTCGTGTGATTATCTTGATAAGATTGTCCGTGTTGTACACTTTGATGTTTTTTTATAAAGGCTGAAAGAGTTTATTGATGTATTATGCTTATTTTCCTATATTTATTATGTATTCATGCCTGTAATTTGTATCATCCATTGAAAAGAAACTTCTTTGGTCTGAACGCGAGGAAAATCGAAAAAAAAACTGTAGAAAGTCTTCTTTGTGGAACTTTGTAGTTTATTGCTTTAGACACAGCATGTCTAGAGAATTGCGTTTAAAATTCACATCACCACATGTTGGGTAACTAATAACAACACGACGGGTACACTGGTAAATCTCAGTACCTGGTTATGAACGATGTTAGCAATTACCGACTTTCATGAAATCAGTCCCATACACTTAGCTTAATGAAAAACGACGTACACGCACAACATGTCATGTCATTCCTTATCTATTTTGAGTATTTTATGTATATTTACAATATGTGGATTGAATGAAGTATATGTCACTATTTTTTAGACATTCAGATAGATTTAGTCAGTTTATAAACTAACCTTTTTGCAAATGGCCGCTTTGATAACGAGAGTGCGAGAGAGTCATGCGACTAGTTTGTGTTTCCCAAATAATGTTCTATTATCTACCGCAATTACGTGCACTGTTCTGAATGCAATGGTTACATGGAGCAAATTAACAAAGCAAATGTAACACTATGGGGTAAGGGGGCAAAACAAGTATCATAGCTTTCTCGCTCGCAACGAGATTTCGGCAGCCATTTTTGAACAAGTTTTATTGCGTAAATCCTATTGCACAATTCCACATCTCAGGGACCAGTCATAAACTGCATATGAGATACAACAATCACATATCTTCAAAAAGCACATTGGTTCAACTTCGTTGAATATTCAAAATTATTTTTCGTTACCTTTTGATAATGTACACGTTTTAATAAATTCAGTTACGTAATCGCTATCAAACTGATTAAATCTTTCTATAGATTTACTAGATAT